AAAAAAACCAAAAAAAAAAAAACCAAAAAAAACCCCCAAAATAAACTAAAACAATGAAGCAACAAATGTTGTCTGCTCTTTAAAGTGAGACTTAAACACAATAGCTTAAAAAAAAATTACGGAAAAAACCCCAATCTGCAATTCTACAAATAACACAGTGGTTCAAAGGACTGCTTTATTGAAAAGTCCCAAACCCCGAATGGTCGGCTTTTTAAATGTCCATCTGTACCTTGGGTACAGAAGTCCCACCTGAGCATTGTCTCAGAACTGAAAGTCATGAACTTCTGATTAGAAGCAAACTTAGGGGGAAAAGAAGCGGGGAACAAAAATGGGGTGGTTGAAAAGCGATCAGGCAAGCTCGGGGCAGTTCAAGCTCTCCTGAGCGTTTCCCATAGAGAGAGGGTCACTGCTGCCTTCAGAGGAGCGGCAGGAGCGGCGGCTGGAGGGGCCAGGGGGAGCAGAGGCAGGCAGGAGCCGGGAGACGAGGATCCCAGCCCGCAGCGGCTGCAAGGCAAGGGCCAGGGGAAGGCTGTGAGCAGGCGGGCAGGCATCCCTGTATCTGTGCCTCAGGGCCGGCTCGTTCTCCTTGGGGAAGCACCCTGCCATTCCCCCTGGTGCCGCACAGCCCCTCTTCTGACCTAAGTCATCGCTCCCCTTCGAGGGGGACAGCATGAAGGACTGTTTCTGGTTAAATCGACTTTCATATCCTTTTTCCCCTTTCTTTTGTAAAAGTTCTCTGCTGCTTTTTAATCTCTCTGCTTATTTGTCATTGTTGCCTCCGTTCTCGTCTTTTTTTCCTCTGATCTGCTTTGCTGCTCTGCCAGTCTCTGCTTTGTGCCACCACCTGGGCTCATTTTCCAGTCTCATTTCTCTCGCTCTCTCCTGCCAAGGAAGGGGACCAGCGACTGGCCCCCGGCACCGCCAGAATTACTAGCTGTAGTTTCTAGCTTTGGTGCTTCTTGTCGTCAAAGTGTGTTACAAATAGTATTGTTATGGTAAGTGAGAGGCAGGCGAGCCAGTGCCTGACCTACTTTATTGACAGCGAAGCCGAGATCGCTGCCTCATCTGCCTGCCTAATGGTTTGTGCTATCAGTCCGAGGTGCCAGCTGGCTTTCCAAAACCACGGGGCAGGTTTGACAATCGTGTCATTTCTCTGCGCGTTTTCCTCGGCCGCCTGTTCTTTCAGCATCTCCCACGGCTGGTGTGTGTGTGGCTGTCCTGGCAGGAGGCTGCTCCGCCCGAGGCTGGCCCCGAGCGAGCTCCAGAAGCAGGCAGCGCTGCAATCTCCCCTCCTTCCCTCGCAGGCGGCACCACCTTCACAGAGCCGGCTCTGTGGCCTGCAGCTCCGAACTGCTGAGTCACACTATTGTG